GCAGTTTCCTTAAAAGATAAATTGGATTTGGTCATCAAAATAGGTATTAAATGAAGTAGCTGGCCATTGAATGCAGGTTTACTTAGCCTTTTTGTAATATAAGGATTATACCCACAGATTCATGCCAGTGTGCTCGAGGGAAATAGCTGTACTTGTTTTTTAAAAGGCTCAGAACATTACACGATACAAGATCATTGTCATTTGAGGGCATGCAAGACTGCCAAGAGGATTAGTAAACTGGTTTGGATATCACTTTCCACCATTCTATATTGGTTTTGTTTCTCAATGTTATAATAGTGATGTTAATACTTCAAAGGGTATAGATTTTCGGGGGGAAGTGAAAAAAATTGGGGAAATTCAAAAATAAAAACTCTTATTGGTCTGATTCCTTCTAACATTTTTTGGATCTACTGGCTTAAAACTATGGCTTTCTTAGAGATTCTAGTACATTAGGGCAGGCACTTAATTGAATTTCATGGACCACTGCTGTCAACCCCCTACAGGCGTAAAGATGAATTGGTTTGCGGTTTACTACAGTAAAAAATACATCTATTATGTTTTTTATCTATTCCATTGATCATTCATTAATAGCCTGCATCTAAACTACAGAGAAAGAAGCATGCAGGCTATTAATTTTTTAAGTAGTTTGAAGTTTGTAGATAGAACATGGTAAGAAGACTATTCATATTTGTCTTTCAGTTTTAGAATATTTAAATAGACGTTACATGTCATGGAAATTCATTAGAAGTGGTCTCATCTAAACATGAAACTAATGCTGAATATTTTTGATACTATTCAATAGCATTAGATCTCTACAATTAATGAAAATGAAATCTAAGTATTTTAAATGACACACTACAATGTCTCTCACAAATGGCTCTATTTCTAAAGAACTTATGATTTTTCACTTTAAAAAATACAAGAAAAAAGTTGCTAAAATGAATAAGGGTTTTAATGAGCTAGTTGGATACAAATCAATAGAATGAAGTTCATAGCTTTTCCATTCACCAGAAACAACCAATTGAAAAATATGTTAGGGTTAAATATTTCATTACCAAGTCATAATTTCACAGGCACTGTAAGATATGTAGAAGTTAATCTACCAAAACTATTTAAAACTTATGTAGACGAAACTGCAAACATTTACACTGAATCACATAACTGAATATCTGATTAGACTACATCTATGTTCCTAAATTTAAAAAAGTCTTCTTAAATTACACAAAAATTCAATGAGAGAATTGTGGGATTGTTTAAATAGAATTCTATGCTCAATTTCAAAGTTTGCTACTCAGAAAATTGAGCAAAATTGAATAAAATTTAAAATTAGTAAGATTGTTGATGAAAGCAAATATCTTTAAATGGTTGGCAACAACATGGAGTATTTTAGGGTTTTATTTTCCCTAATGTTAAAATATAGTCAAAAGCAGTAACAATTAAAACAATATGATATTTTAGTAGAAACAGATGTCAATACAAAATAATAGAAAATATAAAAATTATCTGAAGTACTCAATTTCCTGTCTTTCTATCACATTACATTCTATCCCATTACATTCTCAAACCCTTTTTCTCAGCCTCTGGCTTATGAAAACCCAGAATTAGGCCCATATGTTGTGACATCAGGAGGAATTTGATTTTCACATTTTACCAATCATATATCTTTTGAGAGATGCCAGTTAATATTGTACCTTGTAATTTTTACACCAACTGCAATGAAAAAAAGCAGTAAGCTGCAGTATGCTTTCTTGACTCTTATCTCTTTTATCGATGTTCATCACTTTTTGGATATAGATTCAGAGACTGAAAAATAAAGCTCCCGGAAGAGAGCGAAGCAGTATTTCCTGGCCTTCTTGGAGAGCGCAGCAAGCTACCAAAAGTATCCCGCCTGCATGGCAGAGCAGAGCAAGCTACCTGTGGCATATTCGATATGCCAAAAACAGTAACAATACTGGGTCTCATCCCCCTGACCCTGAAAGAGGCCCCGATACGTCATTGGGCTACACTATCATGCCACAGGGATGAATGGAGTCATTACTGGTGCCTGCTTAAGCAAATTGATGGGTATAGACACAAAGATGTGTATTGTCTGGGGCATAGATCATTTCCAGACCCCTCCCTGAACCATTTAATATGGTGCTGAATAGACATAAACATCACCTAAGCCATTTTAAAAGGCAACGGGTATATGACTAAGGCTATAAAGAGTAGAATTCATATATCGAAGTTGTAATGAAAATCTTTAATTCTACTTGGTCATAGTTCTTCTGATATTGTAGGAAGAAGGTTAAATAATACAAGTTGATTTACAGTTTTGCATATTATTCTCAGTATAGAATAGATTAAAAACAAAAATCCCAGTTAAGCTATTACTGTAAAATATTAGGGAAGTAGTGAGTCCTTGAACAAAAATGTCAGTGGGTGGATGTGAGAAATTAAAGGAAGAACAACAGGCTTTGTTAATTGATTGTTATAGAAGCTAAAGAGAAGGAGGAATTGTCAGCATTAGCTCATAGAAGTTGTATCAAATTCCAAGCTTTGGTGGTCAAGCAGGTTTGACATTCTGGGACGAATATAGACTACTTAAGGATGTTTGATGAGAAAACAGGTGGAGGTAAATGTCAGATTAAGTCCATAGGTAAGAGTAAATTTAGACATAGGCCAAAAGAGTGGTTCTGAGTATTAGACTAAAATGTGGCTTCAGATGTTGCAAAGTAGTGAATGCTCCACAGAGGAGCTCCAGGAAATTTATTGGAGATGAATCATGAGTGGTTGAGACCATTTAGGCCAAAAAAAAAAAAAAACTTATAGCAAGATAAAAGGCTGAAATATCTTTTGTGATCATCAACTAGATTGGTTTCCCTGAATGTGAAAAAAGAAACCCCTGGGATATGTGTGAAAAAGATTCAAGGTCATCATTGCCCATTACTGATATTGAATTTGGACTGGAACCATAGCACAGTGGGTAGGACGTTTGCCTTGCACGCGGCCAACCCGGGTTCTATTCCTCCACCCCTCTCAGAGAGCCTGGCAAGATTACCAAGAGTATCCCACCCGCACAACAGAGCCTTGCAAGTTCCACATGGCATATTGGATATGGCAAAAATAGTAACAACAAGTCTCACAATGGAGATGTTGCTGGTGCCCGCTCAAGCAAATTGATGAACAACGGGAAGACCGTGCTACAGTGATATTAAATTGCTGAGTATCTCATTTCTACCCCATAGGAAAAAAAAATAATTTTCCTAACATCTGTGCATTGACTGAATAATTGTTATTAATATGCTTGTGAGCTAGCCTGACTCTAATACCAGGTGACTTTATCTTCCTAAGTGTGTCGTTTTCTTTGTGTTACTGTTCCATTGAAGAACCTCCTTAAGGCCACTTATTTTCTGCCAAATTATATTCTAGTCCTTTAGTCTGACATTCGGAAATTATTTTAAATTCATCTATCCTTTCCCACGAATACACATGTTCTGCTCCAGGAAAAGTACTATCTAAAATACACCAAATAAACCTATAATGCTTATATCTCTTTCTAGCAATAAAATTCTGATTTTTTTCCTGAAGGCTTCTTAACCCTAATTCAGACTCTTTTTCTCATGGCACTTGTTGGGGAATTAGGATGGAGAGCAGACAGTTTACATGGGAATTTGGGGGGGAAATTCCAGGCAAGTGTTTGATTTAAAAAAGCTAGATTTCCAGGAGGGTCCTAAGGTTTTTGTTCTGTTTTCGTTTTGGTTTATTTTGTTGTTGTTGTTGTTGTTGTTGTTTATTTGTTTTTTAAAATTTTAATTTTAATTTTATTTTTTAATAATGTAGGAGTACTGCTATTTGTTGTTTATTGTTTTTCCCCCCAAAGGGAGTAATAGGGCAAATGTATTTAGAAAAATTTCATCTAGATTCTACAGGTAACATCAGCTCTAATTACCACCAAATAGTTGTAGAGATAAGAGGTTTTAATTTCTTCTTTATAAAATTAAGAGAACAGCACGGAGTCTCCTGCCCCCGCGCCTGGCTGTCCTTGCTGGGGCCCCTTGGAGGGGAGTGGGCTGAGTTTTCCTCCCCACCCCGACCAGGGCTCCAGCAGCCAAAGACCTCCAGAACCAGCCACCACCATGCTAAGACCACTCTCCGCACACATGAAGGTACTGGCAGAGGAACAAAGGCATGCGGGTCCCGGGACTGAGATCTCCAAGCCTGCTCGGATCGGAGCTGAGCATCCTCCACCCAGATCCTCCAAATTCCAGTAGGCAGGGGTCACACCCATCACAGCCACCAACTGGCCCCCTGGCACCGTGTAATCCCATCAACAGCCAAGACTCAGAGACTACAAAACCCAGCTCCCGGAAGCTGGACATCTTATTATCTCATTCCTACTTTGGACAAAATGGCAGGCTACCGAATGTAACCTGCCCACACGGCAGAGTCTGGCAAACTCCCCGTGGTGCACCCAATATGCCAAATACCAGTAACAATGATGGGTCTCATTCTCCTAAAGAGCCTTGAATATGGTACTTTCTTAAAAATCTCAGGTCTAGGATGAAGGAGATGTTACTGGGGCCTGCTTGAGGCAGTTGACGAATAACATGATGGTCGTGATCGTGATAAAATTAATAGTCTATGGTGAATAGACTTCTGATTATCTAAATACATCTCTAAAAGTACATTGGAAGTATTAGGAAGTGTTGGGATTTCTTTTAAAGAACTACCGGCTCAGAAATGTAGTATTCCCTAAGACTGAAATTTGCAATAAATCTAAATCGCAAGTCTTTTAAGTACCAGCTCAAAATCTTCACACACTAATGATAGTCTCTTGCAATCCTGCAGTAATTTCAAACATTATTTTATCAGGTAGATAATTTTTTTATAAAATAAGTTTTCTGGAGAAGACAACATGTTTTCATTTCTTGTTAATTTACTTTTAATACTATTAAAAGAATTTTGTCTTTAAAAGAAAGTGTATTTTCCATTTCAAATGCATTTGCTCTCATCTTTAGGGTGCTACTGGCAGAACAGACATTGAAGATTTAGACCTCTACGCAACATCTCGGGAAAGACGGTTTCGTTTGTTTGCTTCCATTGAATGTGAAGGACAGTTATTTATGACTCCTTATGATTTTATTTTGGCCGTTACTACAGATGAGCCCAAATGTGAGTATATTTTTTTAAGTTTATCTTAATTCATAAGATGTTTTTCTTGTTTTGGTTTGAAAAAGGGTGGGGAAGAATAATTTCTCAGAACAACTAATCAAGTAATGAGACATTTAAAAGACAATTATGCCATAAAATTTATAGCATAGATTTATAGCATATAGCATGGGACCCGGGGCTGAGATCGCCAAGCCTGCACAGTTTGGGACTGGACCTGCCAGAGTTACTGGCAGTTACACCCACCAACTGCCGTGTAACTCCAACAACGGCCAGGATCCAGAGATCATCACACTCAGCTCCTGGGAGAGAACAAGACAGAGTTTCCTACCCTATGCCTGACTGTCTCCACCAGGGCCCAACAGCTGAAGACCATCGAGGCCCAGCCAAGGCCATGCTGGGAGCACTCTCCACACACTTGGATGAGCCTCACGCATAAAAGAACTGACAGAGGAACCCAGGTGTGTGGGATGATAAGCGCGCGGCTTATCATCTCATTCCTAATTTGGTCAAACTGGCAGGCTACCAAATGTAACATGCCCACACGGCAGAGTCTGGCAAACTCCCCGTGGTATACCCAATATGCCAAATACCAGTAACAATGATGGGTCTCATTCTCCTAACCCTGAAAAAGCCTTGAATATGGCACTTTAAAAAAAAAAAAATCTCAGGGCTAGGACGAAGAAGACGTTACTGGCACCTGCTCGAGGCAATCGACGAACAACAGGGCGGTCGTGATCGTGATTTATAGCATAGATTTATAGCAAATTAATTTTCATTCCAGCTACTTCCAAACTGCTATTTCCCATCAAACTCCTACTGGTGTCTCCTCTCTCTCTCCTTTTGATTTAAGTCCCATGATTTACAATAGTGTCAATAGTAATGTTTTTGGAAAACAAGATCACTGTGACAGACCCACCACCAGAGTGTCACCATCCCTTGGCCACTCTTGCAGGAACCTTCCGTTGTTCCCTCTGTTTCAGTACATTAATTGTAAACATAACAGTGCCCCAGATCCAGGAGAGTAAATAGCCTGAGTAGAAGAGAGCTGACTTTGACATTGGACCTAGAGAGTAATTCTGCCTGTATTTGTCATGGTTTACGCAGTGTAAATATAAACTAATTATTTCTCACCCTCCCATGTGTTCAAGCTGTAGTTTTAAACTTTCTAGCACCAGTCACATCCTTACAAATATCTTTAATGTCTCTTTAATAGAAGACAACTGAATTCTCATAGCTGCTTTGCATTCAATTTGTTGTAAGATTATTTGTTTCTTATGAAGAAAATTGAAAAAAAAAATCTGCCTCAGCAAAGGAGGAAGAGGGAAGAGCAGTTCAATACCCATTGCAGATAATTATAGATGTTCTTTGATACAGTGCAACACTTGGCTGGCTAGTGGTAGTTTTTTAAATTTTTGTTGCTACATGGAATTTGAAACGTTTGGTCTTTTATTACTTAAAAATCCATTGGTCTAAATTGCACTACACATTGATCTCTTTTCCCTTATAAAACGTAAAAATTTAAATGAAAAAAAAAAACAGGTTCCAAAAACTTGGCACAGATCCTCAAAATATAGTCACATTTCATTATACAATCACTATCCTCCCGTTGTTCATCGATTTGCTAGAGCAGACCCGGTAACGTCTCCGTTTTGAGCCTTGTTGTTACTGTGTTTGGCATATCGAATACGCCACAGAGAGCTTGCCAGGCTTTGCTGTGTGAGCGAGATACTCTCAGTAGCTTGCCGGGCTCTCCGAGAGGGGCGGAGGAATCGAACCCGGCTCTGCATTAATTAATAATGTAATAATATTAGGAAATGTGCTTATTGAAACACAGTTCAACTCATGGCTCTAAATAGTTTTTCAGATTTGGGGAGTGAGGGGGCACCACACCCACCTTACGCCTCGCTCTGTGCTCTGGGATCCCTCCTGGTACTGTTCTGATGACCGTATTCGGTGCTGAGGATTGAACTGGAGTAGCTGTGTGCAAGGCAAGAACCTTAGCTCCTGTACTATCTCTCTGGCTCCCCAAATTTTAAATTTTTGCTTGAAAGTTGGCATCTTATTTTTGACCATAAATATAGAAGTTGTTTCCCTTAAGCAATATACTCAATATACTAACTTTACCTATATCTAAGAAGATGTTTACCAAATACCTCAAAATAAGCCATAGTTTGTCTGTCATCTGTCAATTTTTCTTTCAAGTAAAAATTGTGTTCCTGGGAAAAAGGAACTAATTCAGTCCACAAATCAAATGCATTTTCTCAGGACAACAGTAGTACTTTAGAATGCAACAGGAGTGCTTTGTGCATACGTTGCATTTTATTACCACAGGTAACAAGCGTTCTAGGGCATCTGTCTAGTTCACATAATACACTGGACACTAGAAGTACTGTGTTGAGGAGAACAGCAAGTACCCTCCTGTCCTCATGATGCCTATGGTCTGGTCTGGCAAGAGAAAGCACACTGGTCAATAAAATATAAACAACAGCTTATAACTTTGACAAGTGCCATGAATAAAACATACTTAATGTTGTATTTGAGAAGCCAGGGAGCTCAGGAAATCTTCCTTGGGGAAAATAAGTAGCACTGTCCTCCGGTTGTTCATCGATTTGCTCGAGTGGGCACCAGTAATGTCTCCATTGTGAGACTTGTTACTGTTTGTGGCATATCGAATATGCCACGGGGAGCTTGCCAGGCTCTGCCGTGTGGGTGGGATACTCTCAAGTAGTTTGCCGGGCTCTCCGAGAGGGGCAGAGGAATCGAACCCAGGTCGACAGCGTTCAAGGCAAATGCCCTACCTGCTGTGCTATCGCTCCAGCCCGGGGAAAATAAATATCATCATGAAATAAAATTCACGACTAAAAATTAACTAGACAAATAAGAAGCTTAGAATGAACAGTTTCCATGGGAGAAGTAGCGTATGCTGATCCCGATGTGCCGTGACATGAAAGAATGTGGCACATGTGAGGAGTGAAGAGAAGGTCTGGTGGCTGGAATACAAAACACAAACGGGAGTCTGGGATGAGGTGAGACGGGATATGTGGAGTGAGGCTAAATTATTCAGTCTGTAAACATATTAAACATTTTATTTAAAAATAGTGGAAAAATCACAGTAGTGGTTTTAGCTATAGAATGACATAGTGTGTTAAAAAAAAATAACAATTCAACTGAGAAAATTTTAAGTATCTTTTTGAGTTTATTCAACAGTTTATGAATTTGACAACTCAATCCGGCAGATAGAACTTCCCAGAAGCTGTACAAAAGGAAACGCTATTATAAGACAGAAGGAAGTAAACAAGGAAAAAAAAAAGAGAGAAACCAGGTTAGTTATTGGAAGTTTACTTTCCCAAATATGGGTTAGCAGAGGTTAGTCAAGTTGGTTATCTAACTGGTACTGATCATGTGATTATCTGAAGATTCCATCTGGGAAAAAGTTAAAGCTATAATTAGGTTAAATTTCAGCTTGGTGATGGGGGGCTTAGCAAAAGCAACTCCATTTTGAATTGGTTCAAACCATGATAGGATTGCATTTTGGAAACATTGTTCAGGGTGGGGACAGATTGGGGAAAACCAGTATGGTCATAGCAGACTCCTGTTTGGGCTTCGGAAGCTTCTAAAGGAGGCAGAAATAAATGGTCTTGGTTTTGATTGTTCATTTCATTTCTTTGAAAAATCTGTGTGCTTAATAGCAATTTGTTTGTTAATCTGCTTAAAATGTAAATAAATACTGAAGTGAGTTTAGAACAATTGTAAGTATTTTTTTCCTCAGAGACTGGGATATAGCAAAAACAAACCTTAAAATAATAGTATAAAGTGTAAGGCATTTGATTTTCATGCAGTTATCTCAAGTTCAATTCCTGGCACCACATGGCCCTATGCACACTGCCAGGGGTTACTCCTGAGCACAGAACCAGGAATAGATCCTGAGCACCGTCAAGTGTTCACAAAAAAAAAAAATAACAACAACGATAAAACACAAAAACTTAAATCCTCAAGATTTAATATATACTATTGTGATTATATTTGATAAAACCGTATTGTGTATTTGAAATTTGTTCAGAGTGGACTGTTAAACATCCTTGACAGTGATAACAAGTAGTAAATATGTAAAGTAAAAAATTTATAAAAGTTTAAAAATCTTGAGTAAGTTAGAAAATTAGCTGTTGAATGTTTATTTTTATACTTTCAGTGAATCTATTTGTATAGCTGAGAAGAGGGAAGAATAGAGTATATACTTGGGATTTATTTGTGTATGATTGGTAATTAATGAGGTGTGTATGGAGTAAATTTTTAGTCTATTTTTGCTTTTTGGGTCATACCTGGCAATGCACAGGGGTCACTCTTGGCTCATGCACTCAGGAATTACTCCTGGAGTGCTCATGGGACCATATCGGATGCTGGGAATCGAACCCGGGTCTGCTGCTGCAAGACAAATGCCCTACCTGCTGTGCTGTCACTCCAGCCCCTGTATGGAGAAAATTATCTATGGAGGCAGTACTGTATGAGAATATAGGTGACTGAGGGCTAGTTTTTTTTTTTTTAAGGAACGCCAGTACTTTAAAGTATAAAAATGCAAGGCTTGGAATGATAAGTCTCTAAAGGATACATAGGAATATCTGGAGACATCAGAAGAAAATCAGAAAATTACAGAGTAATAAGGGCCAAGTAAAATGTATTGTATATTATTTTCACAGCCTTTGAGAAATCAAATTAGATCTGGATAGAAAAATATGCACTAGATTTAACAATGGTGTGTGTTTTTTTAATGTTTCTGCATATTTATTAGGACAAAACCACATTGTAGGATTTAATGGAACATGAAGAAATTAATATAAAGTGAATATAAAAGATATTTGGCTGTTGGGGCCAGAGCATAGTACAGTGGGTAGCATGCTTGCTTTGCATGCAGCTGACGAGGGTTTGATCCCCAGCACCCCATAAGGTTTCCCAAACCTCGCCAGCAGTTATCCTTGAGCATAGAGCCAGAAGTAAGTCCTAAGCATTGGTAGGTATGCCCGCCTCCCCTCCTCCAAAAAAAAAATAATGTTTGGCTATAAAATAGAAGGAAATGAAAGATAGTAGAATAGACTTAGAAACAGACTCATTTAGCAAGATTCTTGACAATGGACTGTGAGGATAGATCTAAAGGAGAGAAAACTACACAGGAACAAGTACGGGGTTCCAAAGCAAAATTGTGTATTCATTTAGGACTATTGCAGCTTAGTGACAGATAGGTACTAGAAAACTGTCCTCCCGTTTTTCATCGATTTGCTCGAGTGGGCCCAGTAGCGTCTCCATTTTTTGAAGACTTATTGTTACTGTGTTTGGCATATTGAATACGTCCTGGGTAGATTGCCAGGTTCTGCCCTGTGGGCAAGATACTCTCTGTAGCTTGCCGGGCTCTTCGAGAGGGGCGGAGGAATCGAACTCGGGTGGGCCGTGTTGGCTGTGTGCAAGGCAAACGCCTTACCCGCTCTGCTATCACTCCAGCCCCTGCTATCGATAGAAATTAAATGTTTTTATTTTTTGAGAAATTTAAAAGCTGTGGTAGGGATTTTTTTGATCATTTAAGCCTCATTTCCTTCCTCCCTTCTTTCAAGGATTATTTGAGTACTTACCATGTGCTAAAATATGGTATGGTGCTTTGAAATTGGTTGTTTCTATTTTTTTTTCTTCTATTAGGATGAGATAGATGATTTTGTACGAAGAGTAGATTTTTCTCCATCTGGGAACACTGGTAGAGGGAAGTTATTGATGGAACATTTTATGTCTAAAACCCAACTATGAATACTTAGTAAATCACAGTTCTTTCTTTCTTTCTTTCTTTCTTTCTTTCTTTCTTTCTTTCTTTCTCTCTCTCTCTCTCTCTCTCTCTCTTTCTTTCTTTCTTTCTTTTCTGCATCACACTGAGTGATGCATAGGGGTTACTCCTGGCTCATGCACTCAGGAATTACTCCTGGCAGTGCTCAGGGGACCATATGAGATGCTGGGAATTGAACCTGGGTTGGTTGCGTGCAAGGCAAACGCCCTACCGCTGTGCTATCACTCCAGCCCCAATCACAGTACTTTAATAAAATAAAATTTAGAAAAAATGAAAGAAAAGTCTTTCATAGGTAGATATGTTATAAGTATATGTGTATATATGTATATATATAAAATTAAATTTTTGTATAGCTGATTACAAATACTGTGGAATTTTTATCAAGTTAGTATATATGTGATTAAGCTCCTAATATATTTTTCATAATAACAGTGAAAATTTAATATATAAATCTGTCAGATTTATATTTAAGTACTTAATTTTGGACTGTTTAATGATTTAGAAATATGCAGTTTGAAATTTTTTTGATTAATTATTGAATTATTGAATTTTTCATTATAATATATACCCAGAGCTTAATATTGGATCCTTGCTTTTGGGAAATAACATTAGTCAGTGTTCTTTTGGTATGTATTCTTTTGGTAACAGTGCTACTTGTGAAAAATAAATAAAATTTTAAAACCACATGTGAGGAAAAATGTTGTTTATTATAAAAATAGGATTTTAAGATAATAAAGATAATTATGAAATAGTTTTCAAAATATTCACCTCAAAAGAAAAATGCAAGGGCTAGAGCAACAGCACAAAAGGTAGGGCGTTTTCCTTGCACGCGACTGATGCGGGTTCGATTCCCAGCATCCCATATGGTCCCCCGAGCACCGCCAGGGGTTTTTCCTGAGTGCAGAGCCAGGAGTAACCCCTGAGCATCGCTGGGTGTGACAAAAAAAGCCAAAAGAAAATGCGTTATACACTGAATATTCAATCATATACAGATCAAAACAGCATGTTGAAATTAGACAAACATATTAAAACTTTGACATTCATTTATTATCTTTTGTTGCTTCATAAAAATTAAAAGTAACAGTCTCGAGAATTTTTAAAGATTAAAAAACAACTTGTGTTTTTAGTATAGTACCTGAAATGAAAGAACTTCAAAAAAATTAGTATCATTATCATAATCCTTATCACTTGAATTTATAACCATGATTAAAAAAATTACAATTTTATCGTGACTTACAACAGTTAAAAATATGTTAGATAATGTTTAATAATTATAGATCAATGTTTATTGAGATATGCAGCTCATTGTTTATTATAATTTGTGTTTAAAATCTAGAAAATTTATTTTCCCTACATAAATTGATGAATGTATTATATATGTAATGAATGAATTACTATTGCTGTATTAAACAATAGATTATTTTTATGTAGCTTCAAGTATTTAATTTTAGTATTATTGAATATTTCAAACATATATAGAAATATTAACAATATGAACATCCTACTATGTCTTAAGGAATAAGTTATTTCCAATAGAATTGAAGTATCCTTCACCTGTTTATATGTGCAGTAATTTCATCTGATATAAGGAATTTAGAAAGTCAGAAAACCCTTTAAAAAAGAGTCTGAATGGCTCTTTAGTCTTTACATTTTTTTTAAAAGCTAATAATATTGAACATGGTGACATATCCGGCAGGATGAATATGTCTTTTGTGAATAATTTACTTTGGAAATCTCATGAACTCGACAAAACTCAAGAGTATGTCTAACTTCCTCTTTTGATAAATTGCTCCTGAACATTGCATAAGAACTATGTATGTACTCTTTTATACCATTTTTTTTCTTCTTTTCCTATTAGTGTATTTCAAATGTAAGAATAATGAACATCATTTATTTTATTTTGGTCATGAAAGAAGATATTTTAAATATATATAAACTCAACTAATTATGATTATATTCTGAATTTTATTTTATAAACCTGTGTGTTTTAATCAATCAATTGTAAGTTTGCATGAGCAAAGAAAATGAAATACTGACTGTACATTTATTCCAATATTGCAAGATTTATTATGTTTGAGATCTTCAGAGCTCTGAAGAGAAATCACGATAATGTGATCTCAGGTGTTCTATTTGACTTTAATACAGTTTCCAAAATTTTTTTTGAGTAGTTGTAGGAAGAATAGAAACTCAGAAACAAATTTCCTTGTCACATTATCTTCACTTTCCATATCTATTATCTTTGCCCCAGGAAAAAGATTCTAGGAAGACTTGACCTCTGAGTTAGATTGAGATATTAGTATAGAAGATATCATACAATACCTTAATTATAAATATGCTGAGAATATCACTTTCATATTCTAGTAGGAATATTCAGTAAATATTGTTACATATTTTAACTTAAAGGATATTTAGTGAAGTTAACTTTATAAACCCAGAATTTAGATGATTATGAAACATGTGTTTCCTAACCTGTTGATATTTATTAAAGTAGTTTATAGTGTATGCAATAAATGCCAATCATAAAAGTCAAATCTTAGAACCAAATATTAAGATTAAATAAAATTTTGACTTTAAACATAAAAGCTTGGTTTTATGAGTTTTGGCTGTAGATGGTTATTGAATTTGAATATATACTACATATTATCTAATTATTTTGTTTGTTTACTGTAGTTGCTAAAACGTGGAAGTCACTTTCCAAACAGGTAAGTGAAAACTCTAGTATACATATGCATGAATACAATGTATACATATATGTTTAATATGTGACATATACATATGTAACTGTTACTGCAAATTGAGTCACACCCACATGCCATTTTATTTTACCTTTCTGTCTTTCAGAAAGTAAAAAGGTGAACAATGCCCATAGTTGGTGTGGATGAAATCAATGATAACTCTCATATGCAAATTTAAATTGACATATTTATTTGATGAAGCAGTGTGGCATTATCTACTAAAATTAAAGATACACATGCCACATACCCTATACCTAGAATTTCCACTCCTAAGTTTTAAGTTATGTAGTACACCTTATAAAGTTAAACTTCAATATTCCGTGATTAAGTATATTCACACAAACTTCCATAATAAAGAAACTCACTTATGTGTAACAAAGGTTCACAAAAATCTTCAGATTGCCCATAAGGGCTGAAACCCATAATAGGATATCAGTAGTAGGGTTAATAAATAAATGTTGGTATATACAAACAGTGAGTAATATATAACCATGAAACAAATTTAGCAATGCTATAAATTATAGCAGTGCTGTAACTGAATTGCAAAAACATGATGGTTTCCAAAAGCATATCAAGGTACAGGAGGTGAGGGCCTTTCGTTGCTTGTGACGAAGTAGACCGTGGCCCTGATTCAAGTTCCCTGGCATATGGTCCCCTAAACATTGCCAGGGTCACTTCTGAGCTCAGGAGTCAGGAATAACCCCTGTGCATTGTATATGGCCTCAGCCTCAGACCCTCCCCAGTTGTGTGTATATATTTGTGTGTGTGTGTGTGTATATATATATATGATGATTATATATATATGATATATATATATCACCTTCCAAAGTCGCGAATTAAAACCATGTTGTTACAGTGTACATTTATAGGTGGGGAAACTAAGGAACGGCAAATGCAAATTTAGAATAGTATGTAGCAACATGGCCGACCCGAGTTCGATTCCTCCGCCCCTCTCGGAGAGCCCGGCAAGCTACCGAGAGTATTCGATATGCCAGACACAGTAACAACAAAGTCTCCAATGGAGACGTTACTGGGCCCGCTCGAGCAAATCGACGATCAACGGGAGGGCCTTTACCTTTACCTTATGTAACAATGAGCAAGATGGAGGAAAATATAGGCAAAGAGCAGCACAAAGAAACCAGAAGTTTCTAGTTCTTACCACTTTGTAACCTTAAGTAAAGTAAAGTAAAGGCCCTCCCGACGATCATCTATTTGCTCGAGCTGGCCCAGTAACGTCTCCATTGGAGACTTTGTTGTTACTGTGTTTGGCATATCGAATACGTCACGGGGAGCTTGCCGGGCTCTGCCGTGCGGGCAAGATACTCTCGGTAGCTTGCCGGGCTCTCCGAGAGGGGCGGAGGAATCGAACTCGGGTCGGCCATGTTGGCCGCTTGTAAGGCGAACGCCCTACCTCTGTGCTATCGCTCCAGCCCAGTGTGGAATCTAACCTTAGATTCAATATATATCCTTTTTGCAGTTTTTCAAAAATTTGGACAGATCACTTTATTTGGAATTAAATTTCTCATAATAATATTCAAATCATCATCATCATTTCTGTTCTTTCTGTTTCTTTAAAATTTTTAAAAATTTGAAGCAGCATTTAAAGCGATTTTTTCATTTTTTGAAATAGAACAGATTTTATTTGGAGGGCTTTAAAAATGTGGAGGGGAGGGAAAGAGAGTAACGGGCTCAAGGGAGAATTCAGGTTTCTCCAAGAGCGGAGAGAGCCCAGCACTTTTATTTTTGAATTACAGTATAGCCTAACCACCCCCGTATGTGTATAAGCATCCTCAGTGCATGTACAAATATATTTTCATATGTATGATAATCTTTGGTAATAAAAAGTGAAATAGTATTAAAAAGATACAGATTTTTTTCAACTACTTAGAGACTGTTCTGAAAACCCTTGGGAAATGACATGTCTTCTTATGAAGCTTTAAACATCCTTTTGAAAATTGGGTGTATCAAATATATATGCATCACATTTATTCTTTACTATTTTAATACAGATCTGTTAATAATTTTATTAATTTCTAGGACTCCCATAGAGTACTATATCTCTAGTGGCTTAAACAATAGAGAATAATTTTCTCACAATTCTAGAAGATGGAAATCCACGATCAAGTTTCTGGAGGCTTCATTAGTTCTAAGCCTTGTTCTTTAGTTTAGTGATCTTTAGCTAGGCAGTTGTCTTCACATTCTATCTTCCATGTTTTTTTTTTGTTTCATTGGTTTAATAATCCCTCATAATATTATTGGATCAGGACCTCCCATAATGATTCAAATAACTGTAATTACCTCTATAATTACTTCTGCAGATAGTCACATTTTGAGGTATTAAGAGTTAGGTATCCAAAATGGAAATTTAAAAAGGACACAACTCAGCCTGTAAAATTAAGTATGACAAGAAAATGAAGGGGTTCTAAAGATCAGAATGGGCTGGAGAGATAGCAGAGTGAGTAGGGCGTTTGCATTGCAGGCAGCCAACCAGGGTTCGTTTCCCAGCATCCCATATGATCCCCTGAGCACCGCCAGGAGTAATTCCTGAGTGCAGAGCCAGGAGTAACCCTGGCATTGCCAGGTGTGATGCCAAAAAATAAATAAATAAGATAATAAAGATCAAAACAGCAGTTATATGATTATAAGACAATTGTGAAAATGTAGATTTCATTTATTAAAATTTAATGAAAATTCAGCATATTTGCTATTTAGTAAGACAGATGGGCTGGAGCGATAGCACAGTGGGTAGGACGTTTGCCTTGCAAGCAGTCAACATGGCCAACCCGAGTTCGATTCCTCCACCCCTCTCAGAAAGCCTGGAAAGCTACTTAGAGTATCTCGCCTCACGGCAAAGCCTGGCAAGCTACCCTTGACACATTCGATATGCCAAACACAGTAACAATTGTCACAATGGAGATGTTACTGGGCCCACTCGAGCAAATCAATGAACAACGGAAGGACAGTGACAGTGACAGTGACAGTAAGACAGATGAACCAAAACTGGTATCAAATAAAAGACTTTTTAAAATAAAAACAAAGAACAGTAGAGGGTAGGGAATTTGATTCAGCAGTGAAACACATGCCTTCCATGCATGAGATCTGAGTTTAAGCTCCAGAACTATACTTGTATGTATATATATATATATATATGTATATATATACAAATTTAAAAATAACAATATGTAATACTTAATGTAACTAAGAATGGGCTGGAACAATAGCACAGTGGGTAGCGTGTTTGCCTTGCATGTGGCCGACCTGGATTCAATTCCTCCATCCCTCTCGAGAGCCTGGCAAAGCTATGGAGGGTATCCCGCCTGCCCAGCAGAACCTGGCAAGCTCCCCGTGGCATATTTGATATGCCAGAAACAGTAACAAGTCTCACAATGGAGACGTTACTGGTGCCCACTTGAACAAATCGATGAACAAAGGGAGGACAGTGCTACCTAAGAAAATTATAAATTATTGTTATAATTTTTTATAAAACCTAAGTAGAGAGTCTGGGGTCATGACTTGAATGATAACAACATATGCATTACAATGTGATTTAATCCCTGACAATGAATGACCACTCTTCTCCCCAGTGCTCCATTGTCACCCTGTGGCTCTCAAGCAGTGCTGTATGTGCCCCCCACCTCATCATTAGTAACCCCAAAAAGGAAGACCAAAGAGATAGTATAGCAAGTAAGGTGCTTTTCTTGCACGTGAATTCAACCACTGGCACCCAGCATAGGCCCCAAGCCTGCTAGGAAGAAAACCTTGAGCACTACCAACTATGGCTCAAATGTGGCACTCTAAAAACTAGTGACCAAAAAACCCCAGAGGGGCTGGAGCGATAGGACAGCGGGTAGGGCATTTGTCTTGCAAGCAGCTGACCCACGTTCGATTCCCAGCATCCCATATGGTTCCCTGAGCACCACCAGGAGTAATTACTGAGTACAGAGCCAGGAGTAACCTCTGAGCATTGCCAGATGTGACCCAAAAAGAAAAAAAAACAGATACATGCTAATGAATGATTTATTTGGAAAAGTAACCACTCCAAATCTTGAGGTGATCATCCAAAAGAAGTAAGGTAGGTATGTATTCAAATACATACAGTTGGATGTCTGTATATAAAAATTAATGAAAAATCTATAATGATTAAAATAGTATAATGACATTGCAAAAAATCTTTTAAATAGATGAAAATAGTAGAATTTCGAGTTTGAAACACAGACCTATCACTAAAGATAGGACTGATCTTTTTCAATCACAGGTATTGAAATAATAGGCTTTGTTTTGGGGCTACACCTAGCAGTGCACAGGATTTATTCTTCCCTCTGCACTCAGGGATCACTCCCGGTGAGAGTATATTTAGTATATGTAATGTAGTATATGTCGTATATGTAATACGAGGATTAGAACCCCAATCACGCACATGCAGCACAAGTGCCGTACCTGCTGTGCTCTCTCTCCAACCGAAGATAAGGCATTTTTACAGGAGCATATAGATTAGATTTCTGTCATATGGATTACAAAATACAATAAGCAGTTTTCATAGATTAATACTTATTTTAACAAGCAAAAATTCTGAAATATTAGAAGCAAAATAAAGAATAAGAGGGTTTGGGGGTTGCTTTCCTTTTTTAGATAGTGAAGCTGGAATGAAATTACTGCACCAGAGTGTCAAACTATGGAAATATGCATAGCAGATGAGAGATATGCCCCGCAACTTATTATTAACAGTAAAGGTTAATATTTTTGTAATCATATAAAACTATGGGAATGAAAGTAGGAAAGAAATGTTACTCAGTAGAGAAGTGAATTTTTAAAATGTGGAATAGGTGTTTCAAGGGCAAATAGTTATAGAAAGATAAGATGAATAAACAGTAGAATTCAACATAAGCCATTGTGTTTATCAAAATGAATAAACATACATAAAGTAGAGGGGTCTAGAGATAATACAGTAGTTAGGATGATCGCTTCTT